TTAGAATTTAGTGACACACTGAGCAACAAAATCTAGAAACGGCAAAATTTTTAGAATTTATAGGAGGCATTGAAATCAGAATTTAGAAAGGCACTATGCAGCATAATTTAGGATCCACAGAGACTGCTTAAGGTGGGAAAATGCCTAGCCCCAGCCTATGCATGATGCATTAAGATATATGAAACTTTTAAATTGTCAGTTTTCTTTATTAATAAACAAAATCCATTTCTATAATGCCTGCCCATGTGATAAGATTTGAGGCATTTTTGCTATTTTCCATGTTTGTGTCTCGTGAACAGTAGAGAAAATAAAGGAAAGATAAACATGTTAAGAAAATGACTTCTAGTATCAAAAGCAAACCATTCAAATATTATGTTTTCATTGTTCTTCCAAACATTCTCCCAAAAAGTAAGAAATTCAACACACTCTTTCTTTAAAATACATCCTTTATGTGTTAATACCATTTGGTCATATTTTTCTGGAATCTTCTAGAATTGTGGGTCTATAAATCTTGCCTTCAAATCCTTCTAAACTTTCCAAGCTGTAATAACTAAAATCTTAAAGAAAAATTATCCCTACTAATTCTGTACGAGCAAAAAGCCACAAATATTTTTGGGGCAGGGAAACACCAGAGGGAAAAAGTATAAAATTAATTTTATACAGAAAACTGATGCATATACTGAGAATTCTGAATATTTTGAGAACAATTAAATGGGAAAAACTCTTACCATGAAAAACTTAAAACGACATTTTTAATTAATAATATAGCTAATTTTGCCTTCACTAAGAACTTTTTCATATATTGTGCCCTACATATATTGTGCATTACACCTTATTTTTTAAATTCAAAATATTGCATACTAAGTTGCCAAAACGAAATTTTACAATATGACAGTGAAAAATAAAAATGTTTTATTTTAAAGTTATTTTTCCAATATAATTTCAATATATTACAATTGTTTTAATGGAATTTCATCAATGTTACAATGTTTAAAACAAAATCGTCAAAAAATTTCCAGTTCTCGGAATTAAGAATTTTCTATAGAAGCTGATGTTAAAATTGCCAAAGAACTGCTTAAAAACAGAATTCACATCCCCAAAAGTGAAAAGTTGTTTAATAACTCTTCATCAGAAAAAAATTAAATAATTTTGAAATGCTTATGTTTCACTTCTTGCTTAGAAACTCGAGTATCCCACCATTTATATTAGAAATAGAAACAAATTATAATCCATTCACCCATTCAAAAGATAACTATATATGTCAGTGAATCGGAAAATATATATATATATGTCTCCAAAATGCTAATTCACACTCAAAATGGAAGTCGTAAAAATAGACAATAATTTCAGATGATTAAAATTAAGCACCTTCTGCCAATTTTGGCTGAAATTAAGGACTTTAAGCACAAAAAATCGATTCCAAAAAACCTAAGGACTCTTAAGGACTGTACGAACCCTAGCATCCTAGTCTTGCTGATCTTCGTAGGCATACAAATTGACTGAAATCAATTTTCTGACACTAAGCTGTACTGAAACAGTTTGAAGGAAAGTAGTCAATGTGATGCATTAGATGAATGGTGAAGAAAGTGACACAGAGGTTATTGAAAACGAAAAAATTTCGATTGACAAATTAGTCGGTATTCTCGACTTAGCAATTATAGGACTTGAACAGCGGAACTTTGTAACTGAACAAGAAATTATGTCTGTTTATAGAATTAAAGAGAGAGTATTATCACATAAAACGAAGCAACTTAAACAACTTACATTTAAAGAAATGTTTAATAAAGTAAACAAATAAATAATTAAGCTTTTTCATTTTGTAAGTTTTGATACCCTTTAGATCATAATTGTTCTTTATTTTGTAAATTACGGTTTCATATTTTTAATTTTATAATTTCTGCATGCCATCTTACCAGATTTTAAATGATTATCTATAATCCGGAATCGCCGAAGTCCCGATGAGTCCGGATTAACGACTTCTGACTGTACAATATTTTCATATTCATTTTAATTTTACCCATCTTTAACTTTCCGAAATTATGGTTAATTTATCCAAAGATATGTCATATTTTATTATCAAAATGAATTTATAAAAGACATACATTCATTCTTATCAATTTAAATTAATGGCTAAGATTAATGTTAAAAACTGGATATTTTCATATTAAAACATTAATTAGAATTCTTACAGAGATAAAAATGTTATGCTACAGAATTATGGTAATGTGTACACACACACACACACACATATATATACAGTGGTACCTCGGCATACTTTAATTCGTTCCGTAACCTTGCTCGTATCTCAAAGCAATTTTCTCCATTGAAATTAATTGAAATGCCATTAACCCATTCCAGCTTCCAAAACACCACCTCAGTTGTTTTTGTTAAGTGTGTTTGAATAAGACAAATGTATTTACAAGAAGAAACATTTATTTATAAATAACAAATACATACTCTATAAAAACATAATTAAAAGAAAAAGTGAAGTGCTTACGGAAGCACTTAATTTTCATCACTGGTCTTCGCTTTTTTTCGTCATGCTTTGGCTCATTTTCACCTGCAGATCGTTTAAAAAAACTGTCCAAGTAGGTTTGTTTCTTCCTCCCTTTCAGGATATTGCGGAAATGAGTTAGGCAAATTTCGTTGAACAACTCCGATACACGACCAGTTGCAACTTTTTCGGGGTGGTTTTTATCCACGAACTCTACAATTTTCTCCTACATTCCCAAGATCTCCTTTATATCTCTTATAGGTATAACCTCCTCTGGCCCCTCTTCAAAACTAATTTTTTGTTGAACCACCGTATGCTGCTGCGAATGTACATCGTGTAACTCCTCGGTTGTCAGCTCCTGAGACTGTTCCTCGACGAGTTTGTTCACATCTCTCTCATCCACCTCCAGACCCATGGATTTTCCCAGAGAAACAGGTGTACAACTTCTTAGAATTAGAAATCACTTACTGATCGATGGGCTGCAGGATAGGAGTGGTGTTGGGTGGTAGGTAGAGAACCTTCATAAACTTGAACTCTTCCGAGTAAATCATCTTCGAGATTTGGTAGGTGAGCAGGGGCATTGTCGAGGACGAGAAGGTTGTTTTACTGTAGATATTTTTTAACAGAAGGGCAAAACACCAGGTTTATCTACTCCACAAAGAATTTCCTGGTAACCCACGCCTTGGGGTTTGCCCTCCACATAACTGGCAGTTTTTCTTTTAAAATCTTATCTGACTTAAAGGTTCTTGGATTTTCTGAATGGTTTACTAGCAGAGGCTTGATTTTGCAGTCGCCACTCGCATTGGCGCAAATTGCTAGATTTAATCTATCCTTCATGGGTTTGTGACCTGGCATCTTCTCCTCTGCCGTTATTAAGTTCTATTCGGCATCCTTTTCCAGAAAAGCCCTGTCTCGTCACAGTTGAAGACTTGCTGGGGGATGTATCCTTTGGCTCTATCAGTTCGGGAAACCTTTTGATGTAAACTTCAGCTGCCTTCACATCCGAACTTGCTGCCTCACCATGCCTGACGACAACGGAGTAAATGCCTGTCATTTTCCTAAAGTTGTCAAACCATCCCCGACTGGCTTTAAACGAGTTCTTCCGATTCCTCGTTTGTGGAAGTGTGTGGGATCTGCTTCAGCAAATTCACCGTAAATCGCTCGTGCCTTCTCACATATGATGCTTTGTGTTGAGGTTCCTCCTTGAAACTGCTTCTCTGTCACCCACACCATCAGCAGTTTCTCCATCTTTTCATGGAGAGAGGTCCGGAGCTTAGAAATTATTGTAACGCCCTTAGCTGGTGTTATACCCTTTATCAACTCCTTCTGTTTAAGCACAGTACATATCATTGATGTGCTACGCCCGTACATCCTCGCCAAGTCAATTACTCGCACACCTTGCTCATGTTTTTCTATGATTTTACGCTTTAATTCAATAGATATCATATTCTTCTTCGGACCCATGGTTATAAAAATAAATGTGATAATGTTTTGTAAATGTACAAAAAGCAAAAAACGCGAACCAACTTATTAAAAATGCTTCGAAAACGAGGGAAACAAGCACTCAGACTGAGGTCTAGTCTGAGTGGGGAGAAACTATTAGACGCTGCACACGACACCAACATGCGCGAGCATGTTGCGGTCGTGTGCAGCGGTGTAGTGTGCGATTCCTCGTATCTCAAATCTTGCTCTCATCTCAAAGCAAATATCGCTCGTGGCGGCTCGTCTCGAAACACTGTATTAGGGACTCATATATCGAGTACCACTGTATATATATACACCGCTCGCACACACACACATATATATATAGATACCACAACACATTACAAATAGATAAAAAAAGATTACAAATATACAGGATTTAAGTTGATACTTCGGATCTGAGAACATAAAAAAGCTTAAATTTAAGCTGTATTCAGACCAAATACCCTTGTCACAGACATAAAACAATTAAATACAATGAACTGATTAAACATTCTGAACATATCAAATAATTTAAGATGAAAATTCTCTGAAATGCCTAAGATGAAAAAGAATTGCACAACTTTATTAATTCAATGAAGGGAGGGCCAAGTAATATTTCCCTTAGAAAGCGTAAAAATTAGCAACAGCAGATTGTATTACTGAGGAGCTGGGTCTGTTTTGCTCAAAAGTACAAACTGTCTTAAGAAAACAAAACCTAATTAATCTTACTCCTTTTTAAGGAATTAGGGAAGAGTCAAAGAAAAATAATAGCAAGAACCTCGCACATTTATGCAAAATGATGCTCTACTTTCACTCTTAAACCTGAAAATACTTTTGTTCGCCATTCTTTCAAACAGAGGCCTTTCCTTCAAACTGAATTTTAATACGTTTTTGTTCATGCTGATTAGATTTATAGAAATGTTCCGTTAAAATTTTTTTGCCCATGGTATACATTATGAAACAAATATAAAATTAATTTCATTCTTTCTAACATAACATTATGTATAACAAACCCCCCTCCTGTTTAACATTATTTGTATACCTTCATTAGGTCTTTGATGATAAGATGCACTGATCTCAGTCATCTGATGAAGTAATGCATCCATGTTAAAGGTTTCGGGTGCATGTCTTTCAGCTTCATTTGCATCATAAAGAAATTCTTTCACCAACTGAAAAAAGAAATTGTATTTAACATTTTATTTACCGACATAAGGAAATGCTTTTATTATGGAAAAATAAACTAAATGTACATTATTATTTGTTACAAATTGTAAAATTTATTTTCACATTAGACTAATGCACAGCAGTTACTTTGAATTGCTGTAACATAAAAGAGCTGGCTAAATATGCTGGAAGAAAAATTAACACGAACTATGAAAAAATGTTTTGTGTTAAATATTAAATTAAGTTCACTAAAAAGTGTTTGGTTAGTAGCTAAGGTCAATGCTATCCTACACTCCAAAGGGATTCTCCTTGACTACACAAAATATCCAATTTTTTGGGCATCTTCTTTCGTTATGCAAGAAGGTATTTCAAGAACTTTATTAGTAGTTAGGACAATTTTTTATATATGGAGGGTTGCACATGTTTTTAAGAAAGCGCAAGACAGAATGGGAGAAATGGTGAACAATTCAGAAAACAAAAGCTAGTTAGATACCAACATGAATATCAGAGAGCATTTAAAACAGGTAAAAGTGTCATGTTATGAACCAAGACACAGTTTAAAGACACTGGTAATGTATGCAGACTATTAAGTCAAGATCAGAAACATGCCACAACATACTCTCAGGACCATTATTTAGAAATGATTGCTAAAAGAAATAGACAAATGACGTCAGCCCTAATAGCAAGAGAGTTCATTGCAGCTACTGGAACTAAACTATTCAGATATACTATGAATGACATGTTGCATAAAAGAGGACTGTATGCAAGAAATTCATGATTTGTGCCCCATTAAGGCAGACTGCAAAATGTCCCCAGACGCAAAATGTCCCCAGTACAGATCGCCGTAGAGCTCTGACTTCCTTTTAAGCTCCATTTACATTAAAGCATATCCATTTTTTTTTCATATAAATAAATAGCATTCTTGATAACAGCTGTTTTCAAATGCTGGATGAACAACCAATCAAGGACCCCAAAAATGTGATTTCAGGTTTGCTAACAAATAATTTTGGTTTACAAGACATTTGCAATGACTTCATAATGAGCCACATAGTTTGAGTTTCATATTTAACCAAAATATTAATTAACATTTAGGATGGCACTTGTAAAAAAAAAGACGGAAAGGTCAGATGAGCAAAATTATGCACAGTTTGCAGCAAGTTTTCAGCAAAATTGAGGACTTTAAAAACCAAAACTCTTCTCCAAAAAACCTGATGACTTTCAAGGACTTACAACAAGGATCAGTAAAATCTCAACATATTATTCCTTTATAACATGGCAAACCCTTGCCAAACATGGACTTGGGAATGTGATTTAAGCATATGCATTTTCTTCATTGTCTCCATTAAATTTGTCCAATGCGAGAATATCAATTACATGGGTATCCTGCACAGAATCAGCTGCATAGTGATTCCTCTCTTTAATGACTAGTTTGAAAATTCATTCATTAAAGTCAAATGCTTAGAAAAACAAAAACTTGAGCTTTAAAGTTCTTCCTAATTTTCAATAATGCTCCATGATATGGTGCTGAAGCCCTCGCAATATGGCATTCAAATGGTTTTATTTCTTTCCCTAAACACCACTTCCATAACCCAAACAATGAAATCAAGGAATCATAAGAACATTCAATGCCTCTTATGTCAGACATGTTTACATCTCTGCACATAAAGCAATAGACGAGGCAAGCATGAAACTCTAATGCCCTTTGTAAGTAATTTAACATAAGACACTGCATAGAAATGATTAAACTTGCATGGGAATAAATGAATTCATCAAGAATGAATGCTTGCCGGCATAGCTACTGGCCAGAAGCTGTTAGCAATTGTAAAGGATTTCCAACTATTGAAAATGAAGCCAAAGAAATCTTACAAATTACAAAAGCAATAGGCTTTTCAGATATGGAAGAAGGAGAAATTAAAGAGAATTTTAATGAGAAATACAGTAAACAATTGCCGCTTTCAACACAAAACACATTCTATTTACTATTTCTCATTAACTATAATTTTTTTAATTTATTCCCGAAAATTCATAAAATAAGATCAAATCTGATGTGTACTCCACATGAATTCCTTGTATGGAATATTTAATTATACAAACTGCATTTCAGCTTATTTCCTTGAATTTCATTAGATATATATTTCTCATTCAATTTATTCTGTTCTCAGATTGTGGCATGGCAAAAATACATAAAACCTCAAAATATCTTCATTAAAAATTGAAAAATATACAAAAAAATAAAAACCAAATACAGTTAAAACAATCAAAAAAAGCAATTTTTACAATTAAAATTAGAGTTTCTATGAAAAAACAAGCAATTCTGCCAAAAGCCAACACGACAGATTTTTCAGTGCACAAAAATTAGTTTAATTTTGGTCCCACTTGGCAAAAAGACATTGAAGGTGCAGAAACTGAATCCACTATTCTGTATTAAGTTTCAAATGTAAACAAATATGACTGCTATGGTAAACAAAAATTAAGCTTAGCCTCACTTAAACTCTTAAATTCTTGATAATTCTACAATTATTGCATGCAGATTAACTAAAGGCATAAAAACCTTAACCGAAAGATAAGAACAATGTAATTCAATCATTTTTAAAGCAAAAAATATGCAATTTACCTAAATATAAGAATTAAAAAAATTAATTCACTGCTCTGTTACTCAGCTACTTTTGGAAGTGAGTGTGTATATATATATATATATATAATATATATTTAAATTTAAACAAATTTAAATTTTATTTTTTAAACAAATATGTATAAAGGTAAAAAGCAATTTAAATCCTAAAAAAAGGAAAAGAGCCCAAAATAATTTTTTAAAAAATGTGCAAACATATAAAAGATTTAATACTCGAACTAATCTACAATATCATTTAAATTCAAGCATAAGCAAATCAAGTGCAAAATCAATCCTGAAAAAATTTACTAATTTTAATAAATTAAAATTAAACATTTTTTTAAAAAATGCATATGTGAATGATTGTTGAGTAGGCGAGACAGACTTATCAAGGGGAAGTTGCCTCCAAACCTAACTCTCCATCATTCATTCGTGTTTCGTCATTCATGCAGGCAAGGGTAAAATCAAAACCAAAAGTAATTCCAATAAAGTGGTTCCCTTAGAAATTAACATTTAAGAATTAAAGTTCAAAGGTTCAACAAGGAAAAATAATGAAGTCTTTTGAGAAACAAGCAAGTAAGTCAAGAATTAAACTTTTTTTTTTTAAATATATATATAATATATATATATATATATCTATATATATATATATATATATAACTCACTTCCAAAAGTTAAGCATGGAGAGAAAAATGCTAATTTCTGGAAGCCAATCAGAATTGAAGAGCATGCAATTCGCTTCAGAGGTAGATGGAAGTGTGCAAATATGTTAGGTAACCGCCAATCTCGCTTTCAAGAAATATACAAAAAAGGCTATCTTATAAGAAGCCAGCTTTATAAAGGTTTACAGAAATTGATTTTAAGTACTGATAGAAGGTGTTTAAAACTTTCATACAAGTTGTTTTCAAGACATACGTGTTATGACTTCCAGAAGACAAATGAAAGATTCCAAGCGCTGGTGTGCTGTGGGGCGCATTGAAGCAGGACAGTCGATCATAAATGTTGCTCTTTTCTTCAACGTTTATCATTCTGTAATTTCACGTTTATGGAAACAATTCCAAACCACACAGACAGTTGTCTGAAGGCCCGTAGCCGGTCACCCAAGAGTTATCACCCCAGCGGAAGATCCGATATATTGCTATTGTAGCCAAGCGGAATCGCAGAGTGACCTCTACACGTGTGACATCTATGGTTACAGCGTCCATTGGTAAGGCGATATCTGCAGCTACTGTACGCCGAAGATTACATATGAGTGGACTGTATGCCCGGGTACCTCGAGTTTGTGTTCCTCTATCCGTCCAATTCAAGAGGGCATGATTACAGTGGTGCTGGGAACATGTCAATTGGAATGTGTCTGACTGGGGCAATGTCATGTGTCCTGATGAGTCAAGATTTGCTCTGGAGACAGATGACAACCATATAAGAAGCATATAAGGATATGGCGTGAACAACGAACACGCAATCAGTTCCAAAACATCACTGAACATCATGCATTCCGAGGCAAAAGTATTATGGTGTGGGCAGGGATTTCATTAGGATACCACACCGACCTGCACATCTTTAAAGGGGGTTCTTTAATGGCTGTCCGGTATAGAGATGAAGTCCTAGAACCCATTGTGAGATTGTATTGATCCTTTTATTTTCTCTATTTTTGTTCTGCAAAACATAAATCGACGGAAATAGCAAGCACAAATAGCTTTCAATGGGTAAAGTGTTAAAAGTGGAAGTTACTTGTTAGTTATAGCTGTAGCTTGGTGCCAACAAGCATGATCTCTTTCTCAGGGAGCAGACAAATGGGAATCCTATATAGGTGAATTAGACCTCACATATGGCAGACCATGCATTTTAAGCTCCAGCCAGTGGCTTTTTCTTTTGTGTGAGTTCTTATATTATTGATTGTATATGGAAAGATTGTGGATATATGGCATCATTGTAAATATAGCTGAATTAGACCTCACATGTGGCAGACTGTGCATTTCAAGCTCCAGCCAGCGGCTTTTTCTTTTGTGCGAGTTCTTATATTATTGATTGTGTATGGAAAGATTGCAGACATATGGCATCATTGTAAATAGTGGTGAAATTATTAAAAGCATAGCGTAGCTAGTGCTTGTTTGGATTATTCATAAAATATTTCAACTCCAAAATGGCTACTAAAAAAATAAAGTTGATTCAGAATGCCGTGCTTTTAATTATGAATGGACCCTGGAAAATATATTTTTACAGTTGTAAAAGACTAAACCAGTGTGTCTCATCTGCCAATGAAGCTGTAGCAGTCTTCAAAGAATATAACATTTCCTGTCATTTCACATCTAAGCATAAGAATTCCAATTACAAAGCAATGCCCGAATACAAAAGAAAGCAGAAAGTCTTTGTAAAACTTAATCAGGCCAACAAAAGTTTTTCAAGAAGGTAAACATAATCCAAGAAGCAGCTACGCATGCAAGTTACATTGTAGCATACAATATTGCTAAAAATAATAAAGCTGTCAGTGATGGGGAGTTCGTTCAACAATACGTGCTCCAAATTTGTGATGTTTTAAAATAATTTGGAAAAATAATTTTGAGACTGTAAGCTTATCTTGAAAAACAGTGACTTCTAGAATCGAAGACATCGATAAAAATTTGACATCACAATTAGAGTCAAAGATTGGCCAGTTTAAATTTTGCTCCATAGCTATGGATGAAAGCACTAATATAAATCATACTGCTCAATTAGTATTATTTATAAGAGGTGTTGATGAGAACTTTGAAACTACTGAGGAACTGATGTGCATGCATTTTTTAAAGGGAACTACAACGGGATATGATATTTTTCGTGAATTTCAGGAAGGGATTTTAACTTTGAAAGTGCCTATAACAAATATATGTAATATTAGAACCAATGGAACCAAATATGACAGGAAAAAAGTCTGAATTTCTTGGAATCTTTAATCAAAACTATCCTGGGAACAATGTTGTTTTTCTACATTGTGTTATACATAAAGATGCTCTGTGTAAATCTGCACTGAATATGAAACCTGTGTCTGATGCAGTCGTGAAGCTTGTAAATACTATTCGATCTCGTGGGCTTACTCACAGCCAATTTTGAGATTTTCATCAGTCCGTGAAATCTAAATACTCTGACGTACTGTATTACATGAAAGTAAGGTGACTTAGTGCAGGATGTGTTTTTGAGCGATTTCGGCAGCTGAAAGACGACATTGTGTCGTTCTTCCATAATAAACAATGTTCTTGGAGTGCAAAATGTTAAAAGATGTAGAATGGCTTTTGGACTTTGCATTTTCCCCAGATATTCTTGTCATATGAGCTACTTGACTGTCAAGATGCAAGGGAAAAATCAGTTTATCAATGATATCTCGGCCTATCTCAAAGCTTATAAACTAAAACTTGATCTGTTTGCTGGGCAGCTAGCTAACAACGACTTGTCTTATTTCCCGAGGTTAAATTCAATACCCTCAGTAAATGAAGAGAAGCTTAAAAATTATGAAGATGGCTTGAAAAAACTGCATTTCAAACACATATTCAAGTGCCATTCAAACAGAATCATTTATCTTTACCATGCCTTTCAACTTAAATTATGAAGCAGTGAGGCCAAATTTGCAGCTTGAATTAACTGAGTTGCAATCTAACAATCATCTCAAGCAGTTGTTTTTAAATATGCCAAATTTAGAGTTTTATAAATCATTATTGAAAGTAACTTTTCCAAATTATTATCCATTATTCCAAATTATTACCTGCCCAGAAAATCAGTGCTATATTTTCTTCATCTTATATATGTGAACAAGTGTTTTCCACTATGAACATTGGAAAGAATTACTTCAGAAATAGATTGACAGATGAGCATTTAGCTTTGTTCCTTAGAATCAGTTCATTTCACTTCGAACCTCAATATAAGGAACTTTTAAAAATGAAATCACAATTTCATTCATCTTATTAAGATATTTAAATTGTAATATTTGTATAATGTTTTTAAAATTTTAGAAAAATTTATCTTGGCTCGCCAAACATTTTTCTTTCGATTTTTGGCTCGCGACTGAAAAAGTTTTCCCATCCGTGTGCTAGAACTTCAACCAGAAAGCACTCTCCAGATTTTGCACTGATTTTTCAGCACATACTTCTGAGCATTCACTGTTTAGGTAAAATTTTTTTTTTTTTTTTTTTATGTGCAAAGAGACTGTTGTGAATTTCAACAATTTTATTAGGTCATGTAATTTGACTGGAGCATGTTTTATCAAATGTTTTTAGCAAACCTCCTACCTAAAGTTATTTCAGTCAATTGTATCACTGCACATATTTAATTTTCTCACCCTACTTGATTGATCTGATTTCTTCTGATCAGTAATCGGTAAAACATAGGGTGGTCAAAAAAGAATTTATAATCTGTAAAACCAGTTTTTATCACAAAAGTTTTTTTAGATGTTTTTTAACCATACACTCCATGCCCTAAAGTATCATTTCATAATTGTTCTTACAAATCTTAGTTCGTGGTAAAAATTTTTATTGATGATAAAATGCAGATGGAATATTCTTATGATAAAAAACTGAACACTAGAAGCTAACACGTGAAATACAAGAGGCATACATGAGGGTAAGAACTCGCAGAAAAATGAGAATTGCTATATTAGAGGCCAATAAGGTTATCTTTCTAGGCAATTTATTGAAGCTATTCCAAAGGTCCACAAAGACTAATTTTATTAAATCAAATATGGATTAAAAATGAGAGCTAATAAAATATAGAAGCTTAGGGATAAATTTCTACAATAGTTTCACAAAGTTTATCTTGTGATGATATTCATTATTGTTAATTTATTACTAAAATTTTGATTGAATTTTTGGTATTGATGTAGTATGTGATTTACTGTTTTTCCAGTTGTATCCTAGGATCATCAAACAGATTTTGAAAGTAATGATTCTATGCAGTATGTGAAATGCTATATTGCATATACTTCTATATTATCTTGCAGAAGCGTAGTGGGTATCACTTAATAAAAATGATGACTATTTTTAGCCATGCTGCATGACATTAGTAGTGTATATGGATAAATGCTCATACAAATGATCCTTTTAAGGTCCACTCCTGTTTCTGTTATGTAAAACTGTGAGCAATTTAAATTTAATGGAATTAAAAATTTAATAGGTTATTAAATTGAGTAATGGAGTAATTTTCATTTGTGTATTCTCAATTATTTATATTTATTTTGATGCTTAAAAATAGTATTTTATTGGCATCATCTAAGAAATAAATAGCTCTAAGCAGTAGATCATGTACCACATAAATACCAAGTTTTCTCTGTAACATTGTTGAAGTTTTATTTTCATGTATAATTTGATAACATTGTGGACAAATTCAACTTTGATTGTTATGCCTACAAAAATATTTGAAATACTGTATTGTCTTGAATATAAGATGGATTTATATGTAAAATGATTTTATATTTTTAAAGGTACTTTTCCTCAAGAAGGTAAAATAAAAACTAAAATAACTGTATAATCTGACATATTTGAAGTGGGTTTGAAATTTGAAGTATTAAATGTATTTAACAAGAAATGTAAGAAAATGGTGTAACTATTATTCCTTTTGATAAATTATTATTATTATTTGGTTAATAAGGAAATTGAAGAATAAGTGTTAAATTGTAAAGCTACAGATGTTTTCAGATGCACATTTTAAGGACAGAAATGCCATCTTGAAGTTTGGGCCAATGTGTTGTTTAAATCCATAGTTTGGTATATTTTCTATTTATTCATAAATCATATATTTGAAGCATATTTATAACTATTTTATATGTAATTACAGGGACATTCACTAAGTTCTAAGCATAGATATGATGTAATAGTTATGAGACTCTGAAACATGGTGAAGTGATTGGATTATCCTCAATGAATATTAACAGAAAAGTACATGTATCAGATGTTATTATTTGATTTTCTAAGTGGCTGTTAGATGTTTCAGTAATGTTTGCCATTACTAGAAGTATCAAACAATATACAGTGACTGAGTTTTTGACAACAGAAGGCATAATGCTGACAAATATTTATGAATATATGATTGCTGTCAGTGATGACATAATACCTTCTGATACTGCCATCATAAAGTGGAAGATGCCTTTAGTCATGCAAAAGTGTTCCTTGAAAATGATTCCAGACCAGGCTACAGTACAGATGTGACAACTGAATTAGTATGTGCTGATGTTGAAAAATATATGATAGAAAACAGATTCATTGCTGTTTCTAGGGTTGCTATTGAAGAGGCATCATTGTTGGGTTAGTGGAAAAAATTGTGCCTGAAAAGCTGGAGGTTATGAAAGTCTGCATCAGATTGGTGCCCAGGATTTATATGCATGATGAACAAACACTGGGCTGTATGTTCTCAAGAAGTGCTTTTCCTGATAAATGCAGGTTAGTGACAGGAGATAAAATATGGCTTTAACACTTTGACCCAGAAATGAAACAAGATAGCATTATACGGAAACACATTGTCTCTCGGAGGTCTCACAAGTCCACAACCGAGAGATTTGTTTAAAAGATTTTGGGCAACATTTCCAGTATGGAGTAGAACCATTACTTATGGATTATATGCCATGTAATACCATAGTAAGAGCTGTTTATTATATTACACGCTGACACAATGCCAACAAACTATAAAGATGAATCACTGTGGCAGACAAGTGTTATTTTGGTATGCTAATGCTTTAGTACACATTACTGAGATTTTCAAGAATGCTATCCATTAATGTTGATTTGAACTTCTTCTCCATATATTTCTTAAATTCATTAAACCTGGCCCTAAGTGACATTTTTTTTCTAAAGCTGAAGGAAATTTTCCATGGTTGAGATTACAGTGATGATGATTTGAAAGATATTTTTCAGAAATGGTTTGCAGGTTATAACATAACTTTTGTTTTCCTTCTGAAATGCAACATTTAGGGTTAACTGCATTAAAGCCAGGAGGAGTTATAATGAAAACTGAAAAAATAGTTATAGACATTTATCGTGTACAAATGTTTTTGGTTTAAAATTCATTTAACACCCTCTGTAGTTTATAACTATGATATTGAAGTGAACTGGTTCTATACATAGAGCTGCAGCAAATTGAGTATTCTAAACAAGTCTGCTTATTTCAAGAAGTAAGCTAAATAAAGTTTTGATTCTCAAGCTTTAAAACTGACAGCATACATGCAAAATTTAAATGTGTTTTATGTCCAAAAAGTTCGCATAAAATCAGTCACAACTTTCTGTATAGTGTAATTTACAGTTATTTTTAACTAGTAATGGAATTTAAATATTGCTGTATAATACTACAAATAATTTATAAAAATATGAAATTCCAGCCAGGAAAATAATGTGTCATTTATTGAGGAAAAAAGAGTAAAATTATGAAACATTTAAATGTGTAAAAATGCATAGATTATTATGAATAACTTTTTTTTTTAAATTTTTAAATTAAAAGATATTTGTGATAAATGCAGAAAGCATTTCTAAAATTCTAATTTTTCACGGTAAATAGTGCATTTAGTGCATTTCTAAAATTCTAATTTTTCACAGTAAAGAAGTTTCCTGGGTTATTGAAACTCAATTAAAATTATAGTATATGAAGTTTAAAATATTAAAGAGATGGTTTTTTATACCGCTTTCTTCTTTAGAAGCATAAAGCATGTTCCTTTACACATTATTTTAAGTATCTATTTAAACAGTTTATAGAAGTTTTGTGAATTAGACTTCTAATTCAATAGTTAATGTGGAAAAAGTAAAGAAGATAATAATCATGTTATTGTAATTATTTTAATGATTATTTTATCCATTATAGTGAACGAATTTCATCATAAAAGGTTAGAGATTTATATTCAGTGGCAGCAGCTATTGAGTAGAGTTCAAGATTAAATTAGTAAAAAAAAAAAAAAAAATACCAGGACTACCTTAATGAACTTAGTTCTATCTCTGATCAGAATCTTGAACTTTTTATAAATAATCCAAACTCTAATCACCAGTGTTTGTCTGTATTAAAACAAATATTCACAATTTTGTTTTTTATTATTTCTCAGTAGATGTCAGTCTTTTATTACTTCTCAGGTAAGTTTATGCAGGATAGGATTTATACTTTATGAGACCCTAAGCTATTTTAAATATGGAGCCTGTTATAAGGAATATGGGACAATTATGAGTGTTCCCAAGAAAGTGGGGTGCCAAGGCTATAGCTTGTGTAGATTATGCATACTTTTGGCACTAGTTTCATGTATTATTAACTGATTTGAGAATTTTGTGCTTGCTTATTTCTTATTAAGGTAGGAAAGTGGTTGTGTATCATTCTTGCAATGCATTTATTTTGTATAGTTCCTGAAAATTAATGCAATAATCTATTGCTTTTTATTTTTGTCTTTTTAAATTAACCTATGTTATTTTATAGTATAAGAATGTGGTGCATTAAAGTACATTCTTGATTTGAAAAACAATTTAATACTTGAAAATATTTATTTTAAAAATGTGTTCTGTGGAAGACAGAGTGAGTAGTAACATAAACGTATATCTGTATTAATCAAATTTTGTGTTTATATAATGTGTTTTATGGGTAATGTAATTTCTGGATAATATACAGAACATAAATTTGGACTTGTCTTACCAATTAAATTTCTTGTTAAATATCAATAAATCCAGATTTTTACTTCCTTGTATGAAGAAAAGGAAGTATTGTAATCCTGAAAAGTTTTGGGTGTCATATTTCAACATAAATATCCATTTTGACTGTTCCTGAATCCATTTGGATGATTTTTTTAATGATGTCTGTATATACAGATAGAATAGTAGTCTGTATATGCATAGTAGTCTGTATATATATCTGTACATACAGTCTGTATATACAGATGATTTATTTTGAATGATGTCTGTATATACAGACAGAATAAAAGACTCTTTTTTTCCAAGATAGATTGTAAAATGGATTCAAAAGAGATTTTTTTGTAGTGTCTGTATGTACATATGTTTGTATTTCACATAATTAAAAAAGGATTAGCTTAGAACACTGAAATTTTTACATGCATATATGACTGCTATAACATCTGGTTCTGCACCTCTCTTTTTTATTGCCGTCAGCAGTATTAAACATATGTGTATAGCCATCCATTTACTTGGTCCTTATTTTCGCAATTGTTGGTCATAATCGTATACTTCCAATTACAGAAGGGTTTTAAATGGTGAAAATACACTCACTTCCAAAAGTCAAGCATGGAGAGGAAAATGCTAATTTCCGGAAGCCAATCAGAATTGAAGAAGATGCAATTGGCTGCAAAGGTAGATGGAAGTATATGTTAGGTAACAGCCAGTTGCACTTTCATGTCAAGAAATATGCAAAAAAGGCAGTCTTATAAGAAGCCAGCTTTATGAAGTGTTACAGAAGTTGATTGTAAGTGCTGATAGAAGGTGTTTAAAACTTTCGTACAATTTGTTTTCAAGACATACGTGTTTCTATGACTTCCAGAAGACAAATGGAAGATTCTGAGCGCTGGCGTGCTGTGGGGCACATTGAAGCAGGACAGTCGATCACAGATGTTGCTCTTTTCTTTGGCGTTCATCATTCTGTAATTTCACGTTTATGGAAACAATTCCAAACCACACAAACAGTTGTCCGAAGGCCCATAGCCGGTCGCCCAAGGGTTACAACCCCCGCGGAAGATCGATATATTGCTATTGTAGCCAAGCGGAATCGCAGAGCGACCTCCACACGTGTGACATCTATGGTTACAGCATCCATTGGTAAGGCGATATCTGCAGCTACTGTACGCCGAAGATTACATATGAGTGGACTGTACGCCCGGGTACCTCGAGTTTGTGTTCCTCTATCCGTCCAGTCGAGATGGGCACGGCAGTGGTGCTGGGAACATGTCATTTGGAATGTGTCTGACTGGGGCAATGTCATGTGTCCTGATGAGTCAAGATTTGCTCTGGAGACAGATGACAAGCATATAAGAAGCATATAAGGATATGGCGTGAACAACGAACACGCAATCAGTTCCAAAACATCACTGAACATCATGCATTCCGAGGCAAAAGTATTATGGTGTGGGCAGGGATTTCATTAGGATACCACACCGACCTGCACATCTTTAAAGGGGGTTCTTTAATGGCTGTCCGGTATAGAGATGAAGTCCTAGAACCCATTGTGAGATTGTATGCTGCAGAAGTTGGCCCTATTTTTATTTTAATGGACGATAACGTACGTCCCCATAGAGCTGACATCATCGTTGACTACCTGGAGAGTGAAGAGATTGCGCGTATGGCGTGGCCAGCATATTCGCCTGACCTTAATCCCATTGAAAATCTTTGGGATGCTCTCGGCCGTGCTGTATCTTCACGTGTCCCACCTCCAGCCGCTCTGATTGAGCTGGAAACTGTCTACAAGAAGAATGGTGGTTGCTTAATTCTGCAGTGGTTGACCACCTAATTGAAAGCATGGTCACAAGGTGTAAACTTTGTATACAAATGAGGGGGGATCACATACCCTATTAATGTTCTTTTTTTTTTTTTTTTTTTTTTTTTCATTTTATGCTGTTTATTTTCACTTTACACATAATTCTGTATAAGTCTCCAGTATGTCATTATCTGATAACTTACAAAAATTTAATATTGTATTCATTTCTGTATATAATTATTGATTTTGTTTTATGCATAAATATATATGTACTTTCCTGCCGAATGTTGTGTCAATCAAAGCAATATTTGTTGATTTTTGTGCATTTTACATCTTTGTACTTAACTTTTGGAAGTGAGTGTATTTATGTTTTGGCAATAACAAATTGAAAAAAAAAAAGTTTCCACAAATAACAAAATCAAACTTTTAATGCAATCTCCCGGTTTTTATACTTATATTTGGGAAAGTTTTATACTTGTTATGATTAAAAATTGGCTAGGGTATTTAATTTCAAAATCTGTAATTTGTTATGTTATTTTTAACTTGCATTGAAGAATCGGTTAGTCAGGGAAGTTATATGATGTCTGCATCAGATTGTTTTTGTGGAAATTATATCTGTTACATTAAAAATAAATTACTTTTATTGCGTGTATATATGTATGTTTGATTTTATAGATATTTGGACATTTAAAAATGAAGGATTCACTGCATTGGCTCATCCATCCCCTGTTCACATTGGAACATCTCATGGTGTATACATTCTACCAGAAAATCAAGATCTTGGGAATAATTCAACTGTTATGAGTGAATGTTTACGTGTTCTTCAGAAGCCATCTGTGCATGAAATGTATGATAAAAGGGCAGTACTAAAGTCTTCCTGCTTGGCTGGTATGAGTTTCATTTTAAAGGAAATGCTGAAAAATTAAAATTACGTTTAAAGGAGAAAATAAGATAGCTGGTTAAATCAAATTATCTAATATATGAAAATTCAGCTTAAATGCTGAGTGAACATAATTATTTCACTGATTTAATAAAGAGTTGGTATTGGTTACTCTGGTTCACATTTTCTAGTCATAATTTTTTGGTTCCAAGAATTTTTTAGGTATGAAAACCTTTAGTGACATTTTGATAATCTTTATCTGTAAAAGAAACATTCCTGGTGACAATCATTTGTGTTTTTGCCTCTGACCTTTCAGTGCATCAATTTTGCTGACTTTTTTTCTTCACTTTTAGCAGCTGAGTATTTAAAGAATAATAACTTACAATGCAACAGATCAAACTCAAAACAATAGCTGTCTTTCTATACTTTAGTAATGTTTCCAAAATTTCACTGCTTGTGTCTTGTTGCTAAAAACATTCTTGGCACTGAAGAAGTATCACCAAGAAAATATGAATTGAATAGGAAGTAAATATTGGATTTTAAAAATAAGCATAGCCAAACTATGTCTTATTGCATGTATCTCTTTCATCTCTAAAATGCAGCTTGCATTGTAAGAGAGTAATTTTATATTTAAAATAAAATTTAAAGCAGAAATTATGCTGCTTTGTAACAATCAATAATTAAGTTTTAAAATTACATTATGCACTCAATGTGCATAATGTAATTTTAAAACTTATTTCTTATTATAATATAAGTAGGAAAAACAAATGTGTGAAAGCTTTCAGATTTTATATTAGACCCAAAGGTGCTTTTTTCTGTAACATTTTATGTGTTACCTTTATTTATTAAATATCATGTTCTTCGCACTTAAATCATAAAATTCAATTCAACAGCAGTATCACAAAATATTTATAAAGATCATACCTTTAGAGTTTTCGATACACAGTCTCGTGCACTGGAGATAAAAGTGTTTTCTGTATAGTGTTATCATTGCTAGCTTTAAAGTCATTGAGTTTGTTAACCAAAAATTTATTAAAGTTTTACAAAATATGATATAGATAATAAAACAAATTTCATATTCCAAATTTGGGCTTCCAGATGCCCATATTCGAGTGAAGTACTATGTTGTTTAAAATTTAATGTCAGTAAGGTATCATTGTTTTTTCACAGTGTGAGAAACATACATACAGTCATGCAGTTTCGTTTATTTAATTTCTTTAAATATGGGGCAGGACTAATATTTGGTGGCAACAATTTAAAAAGTGAAATGCTGTTTTATAGTGGATGACGCAAAATGCCAAAATGAAATTAATAGCCCTTCTGAGCACATTGTTCCTTTAGGATAACAATTATAAACTGAGTGCTGATTATCAAAATGAAAAATAATTCCATTTGTGTTATTTTCTGTTTTGGCAGTGCTAATTTGAGAACAGACTAAATATCAGACCAATAGAAAAAGACTAATAATTGGCTATGTTGGTTAATGATGCACCTCAAATTTTAATAAAAGGTGTAAAAATGTGCATAATTATATTACATTGGAAAAATTATATACATTGGAAAAACAAATATATTTGATATCCAATTCTCATGAAACGAATTACATAATGGAATGATTTAAGTTTGTGTGTATTTGTGTGTATAATTATAAATTACATTGGAAAAACAAATATATTTGATATCCAATTCTCATGAAATGAATTACATAATTGAATGAGTCTGTATGGTTTTCCTCATATTTGTTGCAGAGAAATCTGAATAATTAAATTCATTCAAAATCAAAGTTAAATAGAAAGCATATTTTTAAATAATTTTCATATTGATAATTGTAATACCTCCGTAGCACATGCTCATATTCGTTTTGTCCGCTCCAGAGGAATGAATAGGGGTTAAAGAGTAAAAATTATATTTTTTAAATTATTGCATTATTCTTCATATGAAGAAAATTTTTTACATTGTACAGGGATCATTTCTATCCGTTCCCTTCTTTTTATTTACAGCTAATTTTGATTGCAATCCGTAAACAATTTTAGTCAAAGATTTTTTATAACTAGAAGAAAATACTTTGTTTTCTATTTGGGAGAGGGGAAAAGAAAAAAGTGCTTAATATATCATGTAAAATTTTAATAGTGTAGGAATATACATTTATTAAGATCAACAGGATATTTATATTAACAAATAACCACATTAGTTGAAAAGAACAAATCCTTGTTAATTTACTTCAAAACTTTCTTTTTATTTAAAAACTACTTTTGGTACTTTTTAAAAGGTACAGAAGTATAGTTGCAACCCTTGGAGGATCTAGTTGTAGCTCTTGAATATAGAATATAGTTGCCTCCTACCCAAGTCACACGGCAACGTCGCAAACTGGTCGCGGATGTCGTTGCAATATGTTGTCTTTAAGACGCTCAGATGTCCGCGAAACTCCACTGTTTTGCAACCGTTGCAAAGACGTATTTATTACGTCTTTGCAGATAAGGTTTATGTTGAATAAACGTTGTTATTGTGTCTTTCTCACATTATATTTTGGTTGTGAAAGCATCGTATCATGATGTCTTAACGCTGCCTAAATGTTCGCAGAATTCAACCTTTTTGCAACAGTTGTGAAAATGTCGTTATGACGTCCTTGTGTTACATATTGATTTATGCAGAAAAATAAGCTTAATAAATAATGTATTTTTCTTTTTTTTTTTTAAATTTTGTATTCCTTGTATTTTTCTAAAGTTTAAATATTCTATCATTAGAATAGAAGAGAAACACACCAATGTGACCATCAAAATTGCAATAACAACCTTGTATTTCACGCACATTTATTAAAACACTCGATCGATTTCAAGGGCAATTCTAGTAATTTCATTCTCCTGATGAGGAGGGACCTGTAGCCCTCGAAATCGATTGAGTGTTTTAATAAATGTGCACGAAATACAAGGTTGTTATTGCGATTTTGATTATTTTATCATTACCTGAAAACCAGAAGATAATACATTTTTTTTCTTTAGACTGAATGTGCATAATTAATAATAGCCTTAATTATTTTCAGTACTTTAAACTATATTTTTTAAATAACTTAAATTCTAAATTACGATTATTTTAGATTTCATCATTTTTTTCCTTAATCCTCTAGTATGTAAGTGAGAGGAATAATAAAAGTGGTTATTATAAATATATAACAATATTAGTAGGTTTTAAGTAAATGAAACTCAATCCGACATAAAAAAGAGTTAAGCTGTATATGTGGGTAAAGAAAAGAGTGTTTCTGATTATGACAGCATTATCACATTAATTTCTGTTAAATCTCAGAGACAATGAAAATTGCTCCTGTCATGATAAATTAGGAAGTGTAAGGTAACATAATCAGTATTTTGCCTGAACTCAAGTATAAATTTATTCACGTTTCATAGTAAAAAATATAACATTAACTTCTATATCTCCAAGATATACAAATGAAAGACTGTATAAAGAAGTTAATAAATGTGATCAAAAATATTTCATACAAAAATATACCTAAATCTAATAACCAAAAAAATGTCCCATATTCATATCTAAAATGAAATAATAACCTAACAAACAACATACATGGCAGCACTATTTAAGAAAAAGCATGAGCTAGCAGTGTTTGAAAGTATAAATAGCAGAAGGAAGGTAACAGAATTAAAATTTCAAATTAATAAAAAAAAAGGTACTGCAATCAAAAGTCGTTAATCCGGACACCCATAATCCGGAATGATCTATAATCCAAACGTCAAAGCTACAAACTTTCTGCGCATGCATCAACGCATAATGCATTCACGCATGCGCGTAATACTTTTACGCATGTGCATAATACGTTTACGCATGCACGTTTAATGTATAACGGTCGGTATAAGCTAAGCTAAAATTATCTATTTCAGTTAATGTTGCACATTGCGTTGTTCCTTAATCTTCGAATTGGATCCAGCGTATTATTTTTTGCACACTGTTAAAGCAATTTTTTAAAAGTAAGCTTGAACTTTCGATTATGTCAAATAGAATTTCCGATGCTAGAGCTGCCAAATGATCTAGAAACGAACGTATTTTTCGATGTCCATGAAACAAAAAGTGGAATTGCTGCAAAAAAAAAAAAAAAGGATAAAGGTATATCCTTTGTTTCTCTAACCATTCCGAAATCTGTTTATCAATTTCATGCTGCTCTGCGGGAAGGGGGTAACGTCGCAGTGCGCAATGAATTGGAAGTTGATCTGTCAGCGCTATCCTTATCTTCAGGGTGGATGTTTGTATTTTATTTGGCTTATAATTCCTTACTAAATGTAGTATATCATCTCGATGTACTCCGTCTTTCATATGATTTAAATCAAATTCCTCGTCATTATAATTTGCTTCCGATAGTGAAGAAAGTGACACAGAGGTTATTGAAAACGAAAAAATTTTGATTGACAAATTAATCGGTATTCTCGACACAGCAATTATAGGACTTGAACAGCGGAACTTTGTAACTGAACAAGAAATTATGTCTGTTTATAGAATTAAGAAGAAAGTATTATCACATAAAACGAAGCAACTTAAAACAACTTACATTGAAAGAAATGTTTAATAAAGTAAACAAAATAAATAAGCTTTTTTTTTTTTGTAAATTTTGATACCCTTTAGATTATGATTGTTCTTTATTTCATAAATAACGATTTCATATTTTTAATTTTATAATTTCTGCATGCCATCTTACTAGATTTAAACTGATGATCTATAATCCGGAAAAATCAATAATCCGGAATCGCCGAAGTCCCGACGAGGACTTTAGACTGTATTCGGGTTTGAGGGCCGTAAAAAATCACCAAACTATTGTTGATGCCAGTGCTGACAAAAATAATTACGGCAACTCTAACGCAAGAAAAAAAGTATAATAGTAAATAACCATCTAAGATTGATGTTTTAATTTAGATGAAAGGTTAATTTCATATAATACTTTTTCATTATTATAATTTATATATAAAAGTCTAAACATGACTGAATGGAAGCATAAGAGTAAATAACTATCCAACTGAATGGATGCCTGCATCGCTGTTTTGCTACCGAGTTATCGCTAAAGCATAATGTCATCTCGTTGGTTGTTCAAACATAATTTTCCATAATGAATTATGCCTTTTCTTTGAAAACATTCTCGGTAAAGTGCACAATCTCCCACTTATTTGTTTGCCACTTTTACAAGTGTAAAAGCAATTGGATTTTTTGTCAATTTTCTTTTGCTTCTTAAGTGACAATGGGTCGATGTGTACGTAGATAAAGGGTGTGCGCAGTGCCATTTTTGTGCAATTCTGGGATTTTTTTTTAAAGTGAAAATAAGTTGATGTGTACATGGATACCGAGTATGTGCAATTCTTAAAAATGTGTCAAGCAGTGGGTGATTCTGCACTTTACCCAAAATTCTATCGCAGACTTTTCATCGTAGGCAATTCCCAAATTGTTAAATCCATAGGATATCAAAAAGGATTTAAAAATTAAACTAGTATTCCAATGGC